TGGAGCCCAGGCTGCGGTGCTGCCCTGCAGGGAGCAAGAGACTCAGCACCCCTCCATCCCACCAGGGAACTGGGCCCCRGGGTGTGCCCACAGCCCAGCCAGCACCCTGCCTGCCCATGCCAGCCCTGCCCCCCRGGAGTTGTCCCACCTGCACACTGCTTGCAGATGACCACGCACAGGTTGATGGATGCCCAGTCGGGGCTCTGAGCCCAGCAGTCAGCACAGTATTTGTTGGCTTTGTTGGACCAGATCTTCTCTGCCACCTCGTAGTCGTAGAGCATCTCGGCGATGGCCTCCTGCAGCGCCTCCATCCACTCGCGCTTCTCCCGCTCCGACTCGGCCACGAAGCTGGGAGCAGCAGCACGGCCAGAGCTCAGGGGCTGCAGCAGCAGCAGCCAGCACCCAGGCCCAGCTCCTGGCTGCTCCTCCCTCCCTCCCCATCCCCGCTGGGGATACCTGAATGTTTTGGAGGGGGTGATGAGCTCGAAGCCGCGGCTCTTGGCCTCGCGGATGGTGGAGCCGCGCATCTCGATGAAGCACATGGCRATGCCCATTTTGAAGAACTGCAATTGTCAGTGGCAGCGCTGTTGGCTCTGCTGTTCTGAACACGCTACCCCGGACATGCCTGTGGTGTTGGGGTGCAGCCATAGAGCTGTGTGTGGCACCCCCAGCATCCCATCCCTGCTTTGGCCAGAAAAGCCCCTGTCACATCCCTCATCTGACATAAAACATCCTGCAAATGCACTCCACCTCCAAATGAGAGGCAAGTTCTGCCCACAGCCCCTAAATCCTGGCTGTCCAGGTCCCTTTCTTTTGGGGATTTGAGTCAGGGACACCTATAAAGCACATATCAACTTGAGTCAACACCTCAGAGCTGATGCCACCTAGTGCACAGCAGGCAACYTGGAAATGAGGTGATGGAAATAAAAATAGAGGTGCTGAGAAGAGTCAGCAGGAAGGAAGTGGGGTGCTCTGTGGGTGGCAGCAGCAGTGGGAGATSACAGTGACCTGCTGTCACTTTGAGCCCCCCTTGTGGCTGTGCTGCTGATTCTGTGGCCATGGCTCCAGCTGTGCTGTCCTGGATCAGGATGTTTGGTGGGACTAAGACCAAAATGCCTGGTGGGTATGATGATAATTYGGTGACAGTGAGGACATTGGGAGGGGGGTCCACTGCTGGTACCCATCACTGCTGCCCTGGGCAGGATCCCCAGCTTCCTGCCCTGCTATTCCCCTTTTTCCTGCCCATTCTTTCCCTCTCTGCTCTCCCTTTGGCACCAGCCCTGGCTCAGTTCCCTCCATCCCTCTCACCCCATCCAGGGGTCTGCCCTGGCCACGAACCTGCTCACTCTTGTACAGCCACATCTCAGGCAGGCTCARGGTGGCAAAAACCTTGGACTTCTGGCCCTTCAGCTCCAGGGTCCCCGACTTCTGGCAGTGGGCGGTGTTGGCAGGCCGGGGCCGGGACCCCACCAGGCGCTGCTCCATCACCTTCTTCTGCAGCGTGGAGCACCACTCATTCCTCTGGGCTGGGGACCAGGCAGGAGGGAGCGGGGCTGAGCCCTTCCCAGCAGCCCTGGCACAGAGCAGAGCACCCAGAAAGCAGGCAGGGCATGTTTTGGGGCTGGGGTGAGAGCTGCCCCCAGGATGCTCTGGCTGGAGAAGGGAGGCAGGGATGGTTCCTCAGGGCTGATGGGRTCTCACCCCAATTTTCACTCACCCTCGTTCTCAGCACGGAAGACAAAGATCCGATGGCTGGTGATGACCTGGAACTTGTTGTCCTTGGTGGAACGAGCCATCTCAATGRCGGACAGTGGGATCACTCCCTTGGGATAGGGCTCCTGGAACAAGCCCCAGGCAGGGTTACCCCCTCTGCCCTTCCCAAARGACACCTCCACCACCTGGCACCTCCTCCACATCCCTGGGTGCTCAGCTGGTGCTGCCTCATAGCAGCCAKGGGCGAGCTGGGGATTCAGGATGGGGTGGATCCGTGGCTGGGACCCTATTTCCAGCAGCTCCCCCTTTTCCTGTGCCCTTGTTGGCAGAGTGACCCTCGCTCTCCTGGGCTCCCTATGGCTGAGGCTGCTCCACCCTGGGGATGGCAAAGCACTACTGGCTCCTTCCAGAAGCACAAGGGGAGGCAGAGGGGATGTGGCAGAGCCCCAGGTGGTGTTGAGGTGCAGCCCAGCCCCACCTTGCCCCTTGGTACCTTCTCACTGCTRAAGTACATCAGGTTCTTCCCGTCAAAACGGACATAGCGCCTCTGGAAGACATAGTTCCTGTAGGGATGGCAGAAAAACTGTTGGGAAGGGGATGATCCCCCYCACAGATCCCTCCTTCCCCCAGGCAAGGCTGCACAGAGAGCACAGCTGGGCTGCCCAAGAAGTTCTTCCTCCTTGGGGGGAACAGTGACCAGTGCAGCCACCTCCAGCCTCACCCAAGGGGCTTTGCCCGTGGGGTCTGCCCCACCCTTGGAAATGTTCCAGGCTGATTGGATGGGGCTTGGAGCACCCTGGGACAGTGGAAGGTGACCCTGCCTATGGCAGGGGGTGGAATGAGATGAGTCTGAAGGTCCCTCCCAACCCAAATCACGCTGTGACTCCACGCATGCCCCACGTACCCCTGTGGGGACAGCTTGTCCAGCCAGCCGCTGAGCATGGTGGGCCGGGGCTCGSACAGGGACGTGAAGCTGGCGTACGGGGAGATGGTCAGGTCCTCCAGGAGCTCGTCGGGGTACAGGTGGGGTGGCAGGCTGAACGGGGTGCTCTGGGCGTGCGGGGCCTCCACGGTGGAGTAGCCCTCGGTGTTGCTCTGGGCGATGCGCTCGATCAGCCGGCTCCGGCTCTCCTCATCCTCGCTCCGACCCTCGCTGCTGCACTCGCTGCTCGTCCTGTGGCACAGGGRCTGTGAGGGAGCTGGGCAGCACAGCGGGGTCTGGCCAACCCCACCCCATCTGGGGACATCCTGCACGGATCCTGGCCCCATCCTGATCTGCTTGGGGCACCCAGGGGTTTGCATCTCCATGAGCGGGGTGGGCTCAGTGCTCAGGAGCCCCGTGGCCACCAGCAGCCCCAGGCTCAGCCAGTCCTACATGATGGGCTGGGCCTTCCCTGCTTTAGGGAGTGCCACACAGGTCACCCCAAACCCCTGGCATCACCTCCTTCCCCTCTTCACAGGCAGCAAAGCTAAGCCAGGCAGATCCCCCATCCATGTCCTGCTCCTTGCTGCACACCRTCCCCAGCTGTCCCCTCACCAGGGCTCTCAGCCTGACCTCTCCCTCTTCCCCTCCGACATTCCTGGCACCATGAAGCTCCTGCCCGACACCTTTGTGCCTTTTCTTGTGTCCAYCCAGAATGCTGGGCCAGTGGAGCTCCTCACCCCTCTCCTTTCCTTGGGAAGYGATGCTGAACCCCCAGCCAGGCCTGCTGAGGCTCTCCAGCCACAACAATCAAAGGAAATTATAAAAATAAACTGCTAAGCCTGCCCCTTCCCATCAGCCCCCTCAGCCAAGTGTTTTTCTTTCCCTGGAAAGGAAATGTGCTGGGAAATGCCTGACAGTCCCAGGAGCTCACAGGAGCCTGCCCAGGTGCAGTGATGATGGGCAGGAAGACAGTCATGGCAGCTGGGACAGCCAGCACCCACAGAGAGCACCCATGCCAAATTCCACTGTGGAATCTAGTGCCAGGGGGAAGAGAAGGCTCCAAGAATGGCAACAAAGATGGTCCAAAACCTGTCCCAGCCTCGGGAGCACCTGAGCAGACTGGGTATCTCCAGGGGACAGGGTGAGTGATGGGAAGGTTCACAAGGAGAACAGAAAGGAATGTCCTGGCCACAGGAGCTGGGTGACATGAGACAAAGACAGCAGGAGCGAGGTGTGGAATCACATGGGAAAGGAGAGCCTGAGCTGGGGGGATCCTCCTTGGAGATGGAGGAATTTTGGAAGGAGAAACCCACTGAACATGAGAAACTGCCTCCAGTGTGAGTCCATGACTAGAAAAGCCTCAGGATCAGGAGAAGGATCCCTCATAAATTCTCCCAACACCTGGTTTTGGGCACTGCCCCATCCTATGAGCCAAGGCTGTGTGTGGACCTGTGCTCTGTCCCTGGACAGGCCATCAGATGTCCCTGATCCCCGTGGGACAGGAGCAAGCCCTAAACCTGCCTGGGGAGATGCTGGGCTGGAGCCATCCCAGCGGGGGTCTGCTCTAGAGAAGGGGAGTGGTGGATGGGGCTGAGGAGGGGATCAGAGGGGAAATGGTCTGTTTGGCTCCAGGAAGGACAAGAAATGGCCTTGGRTGGCTGTGAGGCTCGGAGCACAAGGAAAATTGCTGTTTAATTAGCACAACAGAGCCTTGGCAGGGTGACTCATCTGGCCCCAGTCCCAGCCTGGTCTCCAGATGCTTCAGGAGGGRCTGGACAGGGAACGGTGTGGCTGGAGGACTGTGAGCCACAGGCAGACAGCAGCCTTGAGTTCAGTGGGAGGAGACCCATGGAATGGGTCAGGGCAAGAGGAAAATGGGACAAATTCCACTACAGCCCCTTCCTGAGCCATGAATTATGGTCAGTGAAAGCGTAAAGAGCTGGAGAGCGCTGAGCCCCTGGCATGGACAAGCAAAGCCCCCGGGCTCTGGTGAATCTGACCCAGTCCCCCGAGCTCTGTAGGGTGACACAAACACTGCTGTGCCACCTCTCTGTCCTGCTGAGACTGATGGCTGGAGCAGGCACCAGCGTTTCAGGGGGCTGAGCGTCACCAGCAGGGATTGAGGTGCTCAGGCTCAGAGCAGGTAAATCCCACCCTGCAGTCCTGCTGCACCATCAGAGAGACAGCTCCAGTTTTCAGGAAATTCTGCATTCCTCTCCATCTTTCTGAGGATACTTTGTTGCTGGTGGCTCTGCCCAGCCCTAACTGGCACTGCCCACACCCCGAGCCAGAGAGCAGCGTGGGGCAGACAAAGATCCCCCAGGACAGGGCAAGAGGAGTTACCACAGTAGGAAAAGGAGCAGAAGGGCTTCTCTGAAGTTTGGGAATGGGAAATATTTCCTATGACAAGCGGACTGGTGGGCTGCAGGAGATGTCTGGTCATTCCCAGTGACATAAGGATRAGAACTGGCTGTGCTGGAGGAACACCAGGGACAGGGGATGATCAGAAAGTCCCACAGAGGGAGCAGGAGTGGGGCCAGGGCTGGCCAGCAGCCCCCTCAGCAGCTGAACAGGATCTCACAGTTCTGCTCCAAGGAATCGTGGTGGGACTGAGTGGGTGAGGAAAGCGCTGGAGCAGCTGGAGGATGGAGTCTGAGCACAGAGCAAAAGGTCTKCAAAGGCTTTTGTGTCTCCTGTTCCACTCTCCACAGCCTGAACATGTTGATGTTTGTGCTGGGAGAAAAATCCTGTGAGCTTCTGCCCCTGACAATGCTGATGGTCACATCCTGCCTCTGCTCAGCAAGGCCAGACTGCAAAACCCCACAGCTGCATGTGCCTGCCAATGCCTTTGGGATCTTCTGGATTCCACCTGCCTGGAACCCGCTGGATGGAGGCTGTGACCCACRGGTCAGAGCCCAGCTCCTCTCTGAGCTGCTGGTTCAGAGGCTGCACAGAAGATTTCGGTATTTTTGTTCACAGAACAAAATGTATTTTGTTACCAGGTATTTGTAATTCCCCATCTGTGGCCGTGGTCTGTGCCACCACATCAGGTGCCACCCTGGTGCCACACAGGCAGGGCAGGAGAGGGACTGGACCCACACTGGGGCCACAAAGGCAAGGCCATGGGCACGCAGTGGCCATTGAGGCCACGCCAGAGCTGAAGGCCACAGAGCTGCAGCTCACCTCCTCTGTAAGCAACACAGGAAAAGGAACCCTCCCCATCCGAAATGGGAAGAGCAGCTTTCCTTCCTCTTTCTGAGATGCTATCAGGAGTTATGGAAAGTACATTTCAAAAGCGTTTTAAAGGTGCCCCTCACAATTTCACTGCCTACCACRGAGTGACTGATCAGCAAAAGCTGATCTGATGCTGCTGGAGCCTTCAGAGATTGCACATGCCTTCACCTGGAGCTTGGAGTGATCTAAATCCTGAGTAATCCCAGCCCCCACGGTGTTTTCCTGCTCCCAGAGGCCAAATCCGGGCTCCTCTGGGTGTTCAGGTGCCCAGCTCACTGGTGCTGCCTCACTGCACACTCGGAACACCTGCTGCATCCACTGTCCTCCCAAGAGCCACCCACCAGCACAGCTCCTCATCCCTGAACCCATCAGCTCTTCTGGAGGCTGCTGACCCCATCCCTGACACTCCTGATCAGYTCTACAGTGGGGRAAAGCCCCCMTCCCCTCTCAGGCTGTCCCCASGGGTGTCCCCTGWCCCCTGAGCCCAGCCCAGCCCTGCAGCCCAGAGAGCCAGTCCCTACCTGCAGCCTTCTCGCTCCAGCTCCAGCTCGGACACGGCCTCGTAGCTCTGATCAGAGGAGATGCCAACCCCCTGGGAAGAGAGAATGGTCACATCTCCTGTGCCCTGTGCCATCCCAGAGCCCCTCAGCCTGCCTGGCTGACAGCACAGGGGGCTCAGTCTGTGACCCCAACCCAGCAYAGAGTCACAGAATCTCCTGAGCAGGAAGGGACATCTCCAGTCCCACCTCTGTCCCTGCACAGACCCCTCACCACTCCCACCCTGAGCATCCCTGGCAGCGCTGTCCAAACTCTCCTGGAGCTCTGGCAGCCTCGGGGCCGGGACCATTCCCTGGGGAGCCTGGGCAGTGCCAGCACCCTCTGGGCACAGAAGAACCTTCCCCAGGCACTACAGGGCACCATGGGCTCAGCAGCTGCTGCAGCTCCCGATTTTGCAGCAGCTGGTGGGATGCAGAGTGACAGCAGGGGACAGCCACCATCCCCACAGTGTCCCCTCACCTTTGGCTCCCGCGATGGGGCCACTTGGCCAAAGATGGTCTCGCTGTAGGGGCTGATGGGCGGATCATTCACCTCTGTGGGCAGAGACGGGGGAGGGAAAGGCATCAGTGGTGTCTGTGGGTTGGGAGAGACCAGGCAGGACTCCCAGTCCTTGAGAGGGACCCCCCAAGCCCCCCAACATCCAGGGCAGCCGGCACAGTGACACATGTGGGGCTGGGCTCTGCCTGACATGGGCCACCCYGCTCCCTGAGTGAGACAGGAGCACAGGGCAGGACAGGAGGAAAGGCAGGGTGTGGGGGTGACCCCCTGTCCCCTTCTTTGGGGACACTGGAGCTCCCTGATGTGCACCTGGGGGCTCTCACCTGGCTTGCCGGTGGGTCTCTGCGGGACGGGGGGCAGGGCCCCGCCGGGCCAGCCGGGACTGCAGGAAAACAGGAGAGGRATTACTGAGGCTGGGCTGGCAGTCTGGGGTGTCCCGTCTGCCTGGAGGCGGCTCCCGAGCCCGGCTTTGTCCCCTGGAATGCGCAGCATCCCCTCCCTGCTCCCAGTGCCCTCCTTGCTCCCTTCTCTCCCCAGTCCTGGGATTGCCGAGCTGTGTTTTCTGGGGCTGCAGGACATTTCCAATCCCACCTTTCCCCTCTCTGACATCTCTCACCTCGTTCCCAGCAGGAGCCAGCCCCAGACCCTCACTCAGCCACCCCCTCACCACACTGGAGACCCCCAGCCCTGCTGCCAGAGGGGCAAAGAGAGGGCAGCAGCCTCTCCGTGCATCCAGAAGGAGCCGTCCAGGGGCCCAGGGCCATCCTGTCATCCCAGAGAGCTCCCAGCTGCCATATCCAGAGCTTGGGGAAGGCAGGGGTGGGTGATGAAAGGGGCTTGTCAGCACCTGGGGGCAGGCGGGGCCGGGTTCGGGAGTGGGTCCCGGGGATGGGGGGCTCTCTGGGTCCTCATTTTTGCCTGCTCTGCCCCCCTCCGCTCCCAGGGGTGAGGAAAAGCATCGGCTTACTCAGGCTTGTCCTCCGGCTGGGTCTGCTCCTGCGGGGACGGGGCCGGGGGCTGGGGGACACCCTCCCCCTGGGGACCATCCTCCCCTGCCGGCTGCTCCGCGGGTGCTGCCGGCCGCTCCAGTCCTTCGTAGATGACGTTGGACACCATCTCCAGCCGGCCCTGCCCCGAGCCCGCCTGCGAGGCTGCCCTGGGGCACGGCGAGGGCTCTCTCCTGGCTGGGGCGGGCGGGGGAGCGCCGGGTGCCCCCTGCTCCGGGGCAGTGCCAGGGCTGGACTCTGCCAGGCCCCGGGGTCTGTGCCGCGGGGGGACACTCGGGGCGGCCGGGGGCGCTTTCTCCGGTGCCTCCAGGGTTTGTCCGTGGCTCGGGGACGGCCGTGTGTCCTCCCGAGCGCTGTCCCGCCCTCTCAGCCGGGACGCGATCACACCCATGGCCACTGCTGCCCCTGGCTCAGCCTGGGCTCCGGGCTCCGGGCTCTCCAAATCCGTGGAGCTCTCCCCTGGCACAAACCCCTCTAGTACCACAAAGGCTGCTCGTGCCCTGTCGCCGCCCGGGCCGTGTGCTGGCACCGTGGAGCGTGCCGGGGGCACGGGCGYTAATCCCTGCTCCGGTTTGGAGCGAGGGAAAACCGTCCTGGGCTTGGGAATTGGCTTGGCGGCGGAAGGAGCAGGGTCCGTCTCTCCAGGCGGTGCCTGGCTGGGCACGGTGACGCGCTGCTGCGTCCCGAAGGCCTCACTGGTCCCTCCCGGCTCTGCTCTCATGGCATCCTTGTCCTCCTGGGGGGCATCCAGGACCTCCGTGCCTCGGGAATGGGGGTCTGCCGCCGCAGGTCTCCCGCGGGATTGGCTCAGCATCCGCGTCTGCTGCGCCAGGTTGAGGATCCTTTTGCGGTGCCCGGTGGCGGTGACGCCGATCTGCTGCAGGTGGTGGCTGTCCAGCGAGGTGGCATCTCTGGCCACATGGTATCCGTGCTGCTTGAAGGCATCGCGGTACCTCTCCAAGTGGATGGTGGCCAGCCAGTCTGCGATATCCGAGTCAGGGCCGCACGGGGAGCTCATGGCCCTGGGCTGCCTCTGCGACGGATGTTCAGCCCATCATCTGTGCGAGGAGGGAGGGGAGAGAGGGGCTGAGGAGGCAGCAGGGAGGAGAGGGGGTGGGTTCAGCTGCCGTGAGGGGTGCAGATCCCGTGCGTGGGAGCGCGGGATGCTCCCAGCGGTCCCCTCACGTCGCTGCAGCCCCGGAGCCGCTCACCTCCCAGCTCCAGCAGCCGGCATCCTGTTGTTCCTCAGCCCCAGCCTCTCCACCGCTCCCCGGGGCTGCCGGATCCGGATCCCCGTTTTGTCGGCGGGGCCGTGACCCCAGCCCGGGCAGGAACTGAGCGTCGGGGGGCTCACGGGGGAGCGGGTGGTCGAGCAGATGCCGRGCCCTGGGACGTCCCGGGCTCCGCGGGGCCGGGCGGGCGGGCCAGAGCCGGCGCAGCCGCGGGGGTGTCCCGGGCAGATAACGGGGGGAGCAGCGGGGCCCCTCCCAGGGGATGAGCTCCTGTGCCGGCCAGCTCGGGGAGGGCTCTGCAGCCGGAAGGGCCAGACCATAATCTCTCTCTCTCACTGCTGGCGAGGGCATGGGAGAGGTCAGCATGACTCACGGGCAAACAGAGGGGGGACAGCCTCCCACCCACCCACCCCGGCCGGGCCGGACCCCCCACTGCCAGCACATGGACACAGAGGGGCATGGCCAGGCTCCTGTGCCACCAGGGACCCCGAGCCCGAAGCGATTCGCCAGCACAGCCGCGGGACAGAGCCTGCTGAGGGCCTTTTTCCCATGAATCATGCAGCTCCGCACTAAACCATCTGTGCTGACTGTGCTGCCACTGGGTCTTTTTCCAGTTCCTCCATTTCCCTCTATTGTTCGGCGCAGCTTCCTTCCTGCTGCCTGCACGCTCCCACGCATCCCCTGCCCCCTCCCGCAGGAGCCTGGTCCCAAACCCGGCCAGGGACAGCGGGACGGAGCCTTCGTGCCCAGCACGGGCATCTCCMCGCTCCGCAGCCCCGCCTGCCCGGGCAAGGGCTGCGTGGGTGCCCTGGGAGGCCGCGGTGTCCCCGCGAACACGTGGGGGATGCTGTCAGCCCGGCAGGGGCTCGGAGAGCTGGACATGAGCAGGGCACAGGGTGGGGTGTCGGTGCCCCGGGGTTACAGGGCTGTACCCACTCGTGCCCAGCAGCTTCGGCTGAAGTGGGGCAATTTCCCCATTTCTCACGCCTTTATCATCCTGAGGGATCTGCGGCTGGCCTGACCCTCTGCCTGCTCTGCGTGGGGCTTCTCMAGTGAGGAGATGGCTCCTGAGACCTCCCCATTCCTGGGCAGGGGGCTCTGGGGCCACACCGGACTGTGGTGTGGCACATTGGGGCAGTCTGGCTGTGCCCACAGATGCTGGCACTTCGCAGGCAGCGGGACTATCCCTGTACCTACAAACCCATGCCCAGTGAGCATGAACTGTCCCCAAGCCTGGTCCTGGTCCTTCCCCAAGTCCCCAAGCCTGTCCCATCCATGTCCTGCCCTCGCGGTTGTCCCTCACCTGTGGCTGTCCGCAGCCCGTGGGGCCAGCTCCGGCACAGCAGTGCGGTGGCAGTGCCGCYTGGGCTCCAGGGCCACCCCGCTCCCGGCTCCAGGGTGACGCCAGGGCAGTCCCGTGCAGGAACTGCTGCGGGCTCAGCCGGGCTCCAGRGCACCGGGCCCACGCCTCCCACTGCCGGTCCCTCCTCCAGGCCAACCCTCTGGTCCCCATCCCTGTCCCACCCTCCTGTCTTGTCCCTTCTCAGGGTGTGCTGTGTCCTGTCCCTCAGCCGGGCTCTGCTTTCCTTTGGGGGCTGCCCCCACCTGCCCCGCTCACCCCTCATCCTCCTCCTCCTGCCTTCCCAGCTCCCACCATGGSACACTCATTGCCACGGGGACCAGGCTTCCCTGAGACCCTCACTCCAAGAGCCTTCTGCTGATGGAGATTTTTGAAGGCTCTCTCCACTGTTTTTGCCCCTGGCTGGAGGAAGGAGATATTTCCTGTATCCACCATGGCATGGGACTGGTCAGGGTGCAGGAGCTGGGGCTAAACCGGGGAAAACAGGATAAAATATTCATGCTGCGGAGAGGACTTGGGTGGCTGACAGTGGGGCTGAATGGGTGAAGTTTTGGGAACATCAAAACCTTTGTGCTGTGGCAATGTGAGGATCCACCTCATCCCACTGCAGGTGCCTCACGGGCAGTTGAGTGAGCAGAGGGGCAGGATGACAGCAGGAGCTGGGGTCCCAGGGCATTGCTGGGGGAACAGGAGGGGCTGGGGTGGAAGGGGGACATCCAGGGGGATCATCTCCTGCAAGGASCCTGAGCTTTCACCTCAGACTGACCTGGCTGCTTTTAGCACAAGGCTTTTTGCAAGAGCCCCAGCAGGGCTGGCYGTTGGTCCGGCTCAGCTGTTGGCCAGCCTTGAGGGTGTCAAAGGCTGCTATCTCTCTGCTGATGCTGATAACACCTCCCTGCCCTGGGAGGGCCCAGGGATGGGGTCACCCTTCCTCCCGCTCAAACCAGTCCTTCCCCRCCCCAACAGTGGCCCCAAAAGCCATTGTGGGGGTGCTGTGGGAGGGGTACCCTGCACAAACCTCCATGTGCAGTTCACTGGGGAAAGGCAGCCTCTCCTCACCACAGGCTGCTCCTGCAAAGCAGAAGCTGAATTCAGCACGAGTCTGGCAGGGTTTTGCCTCCCTCCCCTTTCCCCACGAGCGGCTCCAGCAGGCAGTGACACATCCCCATGGCTGAGGATGGCACGGGTGGCCCCGTGTGGGTGGGGTGTGGATTCAGGGTGCACGGGGACCCTCAGAATGTGCAGGGACCCTGCAGTGCTGACCATGACATTCCTCTGCCTCTCAGAGGAAGCTGTTTGRCACGGCTGTTCTCAGGAAGGCTGCTGAGGTCTGCGGTGTGAATGGGAGGGACAGAGCACGAGTGATGTGTCACTGTCTCCGTCCTGCTGCGCTGCAGCCATTGCACCAGTGAAGCACAGTCTGGCACTGTGCAGCATCTCCAGGGACACAATCCCAGTCTGGATCGGGTTGGAAGGATCCCCAGGGGCTCCTCTGGTGCCAACTCCCTGCTCCAGCAGGGCCATCCCAGAGCACAGGGCACAGCAGTGCCCACACAGCTCTGCAATAGCCCCASGCAGGGACACTGCACAGCCTCTCTGCACAATCTGGGCACGGCTGGGCACTGCCCAGGGCACAAGTTCTGCCTCCTGTGCAGGGGGAGCTCCCTGGGCTCGCTCCCTGCCCGTCCCTGGGCTGCCATCGCTGGGTGCCCCCCGCAGCAGAGCCCGGGCCCTGCTCGGAGCCCTCCCTGCACACAGGGACAGCCAGGCCTGAGGGCCCCTCTGGGCTGGGGCTCCTCTGGAGGCTGAGCAGCCCCGGCTCCCTCAGCCTTTCCTGGGCACCGAGATGCTCCGGGCCCTTCCTCATCTGCGCAGCCTCCGCCGGCCCCGCTCCAGGTCCCTGCTGTGCTCAGGAGCCCCGAGCTGGACACAGCACTGCAGAGGAGCCTCTCAGGGCTGCCACAGGGGCAGGATCCCCTCCCTGACCCGCTGGCAATGCTCTTCAGACCCTTCAGAACCTGCTGCCAGGAGGGCAGGGATGGGCTGCAGGGCAGGGAAATGCCCCACATGGAAGGAACACCCTGGGATATCCTCACAGTGGCAAGTCACTGCCCTGGCAGGCCTGATGTGACCAAGGACAGGGCCCAGCTCCTACGACCCACATCCTGATGGCTGCAGAAAACCTTCTCCACTTCTCATTTCCCGCTCCACAGTCAGGTAATTCCCAGGTTTGGAGCTCCCTTCCCTTGGCAGGGGGGAAGCCCCTGTTCACAMAGCTCTGCTGAGCCCCAACACCTGGTTCCCAAGGGGGGTGCTCCTTCCCAGAACCCATCCAGGACAGCTTGAGGCATCCCCCAGCCATGGGACCACCCTGGACCCCAGAGCTGGCACAGGGAGGGGAGCAGGGCACAGCAGGGCAGGACACAGGGATAGGGAGTTTCCTGAGGGCTTCCTATCAGCCCACATTCTGCAGAGTAAGTTTCAGAGCCTCTGCTTGCTCTGGTGTTTGCCAGCCTGCTGATGACATCGATGTTTATATTTAGACAGCAGCATCCTTGGGCAGAGGCACAGAGCCCTGTCCTGCCACGGGCACGGAGCAGGAAGATCATGCCCGCTCCCTGGAGGAGGCAGGATTGGAAAACCCCCCGGGGGTGGGGAATTGGGCTTTGAGGAGGGGCTGGCAGGGCCTGGAGGAAGCAAACAGCAAACTGAAGGTTTGACC